CCTACCTACTCCATCCATCTATCATCTTTCCATCCCTCTATCTATCTATCTATCTATCTATCTATCTATCTATCTATCTATCTATCTATCTATCTATCTATCATCTATCCATCCTCTATCCCTATCATTTCTCTCTACTCATCCATCCATCCACATATCTACCTATTTATCTATCTATCTATCTATCTATCTATCTATCTATCTATCTATCTATCCATCCATCCATCCATCCATCCATCCATCCATCCATCTATCATCTATTATATATCTAGATATCCATCCATCCATCCATCCATCTACTTATTTGGCATCCTGCAGTTTGATTAGCTGTCCTGGAATGGAGGCTGTGACTGTGTAAAGCATCGTTTCCGAATCTGGACCCTTTTTAAGATGTGTGAACTTCAATTCCCAGAATTCCCCCGGCCAGCCATGAATTCTGGGAATTCTCGAAGTTGCCAAGGTTGGAAAACACTGGCCCACAAGGTGTGAAGAAACAGGCTGTGGTCCAAGCCTGAAGTTCATGGATGCCCTGAAAGGCTGACAGTTACAACTGCCCGACTCATCAGAGTGGGGAGGGAGGGAAGGGTACAGGTCCTCTCTCTTAAGGAGGCCCATCTGGTGAGATCGAGAAGGTGGGCCTTCTCCGTAGTGGCCCCCTCCCTGTGGAACACCATCCCTGCAGAGATAAGATCAGCTCCCAATTTAATAGTTTTCCTGTCGTGGCTTGTCGGCTACCGGCCCCTTAAGCAGCCAAATCGGAAGAGGCGTGGGAGAGGGTCACCTTCAAGGCAGCCTGAGAGCTGAGAGAGAGGGAGAGGGAGGGAGGGAGGGAGAGAGAGAGAGGCGGAGCCTGGGCCACCCATCAGCCTTCAGATGGAGGTCAAAAGCCCCCAGGTCTGGAGGTGGCTGATGAGGAAGAGGAGGAACAGCTGGGCCCAGTGCCTGATGCACAGGAGAGGAGAGCAGTAGAAATCTATGGGCCGGTCCTCGGGACGGAAGATCCACCACTGCTGGAGAAGCCCCACCTGAGCTCTGGGGATCAAAGGCAGGGGGCAGAGATGAATGTATAGGGCAGACAACTATTCATCTTCTGGGCGCACGGACTTGTTAGCCTGCGGTGAGAGAGAAACGTTTTGCCAGCGCTCCTAATAAAGGAATATTTGGAGAGTTTGCCGTATTTGGGGAGCTGGGTCAGAACATTTCCAAAATGCCCTGAAGATCCGGGATGGCCAGCGGGGCTGGAGACCTCAGGGTGATAGGGAGCCCATCATGAGGTCAGTTTGACTGCTGCCACCAGGTGGAGGGGGAAGGGGGGGGCAACCTCTTACCGGAGTCACAGCAGCGCAGTGGAAGTAAACGGGCTCAGGCATCACCGCAGGGAGCTTCACCCACTGAAACGTCTGCAGGCTGAGTTTCCAGATATCGCCTAAAATCACCTCTCCGTTGTATCCGCCGCAGACAAAGACATCTGAGAGGAGAGAGGAATTTTTTTTGTCCCCCAATCAATGTATCAATCGTGGAATGAGAAATGCGTTTCTGAATGGTTCCTTTCATCGGTAATTTCCCAATGTTTCCCCAATGCTTGCGAGTTAAATGCCTGAATTTTCATCCTGCCTAAGGCACGAAAGCCGGGTGGGGTGACTGTGGACTAGCCACCAGGAGACGGTGAGTTCTAGTTCTGCTTGAAGAATGAAAGTGGCCCTGTGACTCTAGGTCAATCACCAGGAGACAGTGAGTTCTAGTTATGCCTCCGGCATGCGGGAGACTGGGAGTTCTAGTCTCACTCTAAAGCATGAAAAATGGCTGGGTGATTCTGGGCCAGTCACCAGGAGATGATAAGTTCTAGTCCTGTGCCTCAGGCATGCAAGCTGTCTGGGTGACTCTGGGCCAATCACCAGGAGGCGGAGAGTTCTAGTTCCACCTTAGGGATAAAGGCTGGCTGGGTGACTCTGGACCAATCACCAGGAGACGGTGAGTTCCAGTCCTGCCTTGGCTCTGAAAGTCAACTGGGGTGACTTTGGACTAATCACTAGGAAATGGTGAGTTCTAGTCCCACCTTAGGCATGAAAGCCAGCTGGGTGACCTTGGGCCAATCACCGGGAGACTGTGAATTCTAGTCCCAACTCAGGCACTAGGTTGGCTGGGTAACTTTCCTCATAGGGTTGTTTTGGTGGGGAAAAGAGGAGGACGGATTATTAAATATATTTGCAGCCTTGAGTTATTTATAAAAAAATATATAATAAAAATGGGACAAATAAATAATAATAATAAAATACGCAGTTCCCCCACCCCAAACAGGAAATTCTGTTGTTGTACGCGTTCCAAAGTTAAGCTATCGCTTACCATTTTTTATTTGTACACAGCTGTGACATCTTCGGGCCGCGGGATAATCTGTGGGTCAAAGGCCTGAATGTGAGTTATTTAGTCCGTAAGATGCTTCTTTGATTTAACTTTTTAAGACTTGTGGACTTCAACTCCCAGAATTCCCCAGCCAGCCATGAATGGCTGGCTGGGGAATTCTGGGAATTGAAGTCCATGGGTCTTAATGTTGCCAACGTTGGGCATCGCTGCTCTCAAACATCAGCTACTTCCCTGTTTTTAGAAGTGGGAAAGTGGAGTGCCATGACAGAAAATGTCCCATTTCTTTAAAACGTGATTTTTGAAAAGCCTTCTAGACGTCTGGGAAACACAGCTGATGCAGACAGCAAGAGAGCAAAAATTGGGATACAGAGCAATGAAATATATGCAGAAATTACTCTGAATTAATCGCTAACCTAAATAAAGTCTATTTATGCGGCGGATATTATTTTGGAAAGAGGGATCAGATTCTAAGAATCAAATTTATTAAAAGAGAACAAAGCAACAGAAATAATTCACTTTAAATTCTGAATTAATAATTGGGGGGGAGGGGAAATCTGACATGTCAAATTCTCACCAAGAGGCTAAAATCTACAGTCTTAATAAAGCCTTTAATAAAACATTCTATAGCGTTATGAAACATTCTTTTATTTTTTAAAAAATATTTTATAACACAATAGAGAACAAGAAGCTCAAAGGTTTGTTGTGCATCCAGCTATTTTGTCGAAGTCATTTTCACAAATAAGATAAATAAATATATGAGCACAGTTTCAATTTCTGATGCAAAAATAGAAGAGAATATTTATGGCCTCAGGGGTTGAACTGCGGGGCCCTTGGTGCTCTCTGAGCTTGGTGGTTTTCTTGCAGATGTCTCATGACCCAACTGGGTAACATCATCAGTGGTAGAAGGGAGTAAAGTTTGCAAAAAGGAGGAGGAGGAGGTGGTAGTGGTGGTGGTGTTGGAGGAGGAGGAGGAGAAGAGGAGGAGGAATAGGAGAAGAGGAGGAGGAGGAGGAGGAGGAG